CACCTCTAGTGTTCACAACCCTCTGGCGGATGGGACCAGGTGCAAGATGCTTCTTCGCCAGACTCTCGGAGGTGTTATCTGAACGGAAGCATCAGCCCAGAAGTTATGTTACAGCCTGCTTGAGATGTCGACTGTCCTTCTCTGCTTAGGTCAGCATTGCTTTGCCTCAGGGGAGCGAGAACATTTCCCCCAAAGCCGACAACAGTTGCAGATATTGATTATGAGGCTACAGTCACTGAATGCCGCATAGATCTGCTGGTCAACTAACACAATACAGCCAGGGTAGCTACTTGTGTATTAGGATAGTTAATTTTAAGGTAATAAAATGGCGGCGAAGTTGTGGCTATTGGGGAGGATGGAGGCCACGTCATAAAAAAGTAGTAGTAGTAGTAGTAGTAGTAGTAGTACCATTGTTGTTCTTGATATTCTGAACACATTAATCGACTGAACAGTAGATATGTATGTTCTGCTGTTTTGTGATTTATGATTACTGTGTATAGGGAGTTGAAATTCCCATCATTCATGAACAACTGTGTGTTCAATATTGATAGGAATATCCTGATCAGTAAAACTTTTATTCTAAGCTGCGTTAGTCACCGCTATGAATACCTGCCTTCAATGACTGACTGAGGGCGTTGTCCTCCATTTCCTCTTGTCCGTTAATAACATGGCTCCTCGCAAACTCAGTTTATAAAGTCTCTTCCAGTATTGACGTGTAATATGACCGAGCGCAGTTTAGAGGCAGATCCAGTAAAGACCCATAAAGTTTGTGGTACAGAGTCTTCCCTTTAGTTCAAGTGTAACATACTTGTGGGTAGTTGGCATCACGAAAATTGTGACCAAGTCCCAGGTTGCTGAATCTGAGTTTCTGCCTCATTTACACACAATTGCAGGGTCTCAGTTGTTACTCTAACATGACAACACAATATATATATATATATATATATATATATATATATATATATATATATATATATATATATATATATATATATATATATATATATATATATATATATATATATATATATATATATATATATATATATATGATTCATTTCTAACCCTTGATATTTTTTGTTTATTATATATTTATGGTTCTTTATGATTTTTATTATATTATCATTATTATTATTTTATTATATTTTGCCCCAAGCCTTGATGTGGGTCATTAAAAATGACCTTTGCCCAGGTGGACTATTGCCCGTAAAAAAAAGTGAATTATCTTTCAATGGCTGGAAGAGGTAAGAAAGAGAAAGTATTAATTTATATATTATGTGAATGAGGTAAGGCGCTTTTAAAACGTCCCAAGGCAATGTTTATATGAGAACTTCTTTGTTTCACTTAATACAGCCTAGTGTAAGTGTAGACACGTCTGAGCAAAGTGATGAGTCAGATGAGTCGATACATATATAATCCTTGTCTTAGTCTGTTGTTGCTTGTGACATCAACAACCTAAAACACACAAACGTTCAAGGTCTGAGCAGACGAAATAATTCAGGTATTATAAGCGGGTTTCCTAATCTTCCTGAGATCCATAAAGACTAGAATCCCAATATATTTCATATGATGATTAAAATCCCTAATATAACCTAACCTAACCTAACCTAACCTAAGCTAATCTAATCTAACCATGGGTTCTAATCTTCATGAACTAATCTCGTTCATGTACTTAGCTTTTTATTACTGTGTCGAAAATTAATAATAAACAAGATTATTTTCGATTGTCTTTCACTTACATTTTCGTAATTACAGAATTATTTTGTTTAGATTAAATCAGCAACAGTAATATACAAATACAGGTAATAATAAAAAAAACGTGAAATAATGATAACAATAAATAATAAAATGAAGAAGAAAAGAAATATTATACACGACGGAAGAAATAGATCCAAGAAGGTTGAAATAATAGCCCAGTTCCCATGACATCCTGCAAGCTTATATACTCACTCACCCTCGCCTCCTGCACACCATTACATTATTATCACCCTCACCATCATTCACTATCACTTAATTATCACTCTCACCATCACATTATTATCACCCTCACCATCATTAACCATCTCTTTTATTATCACCCTCACTATCATTCACCATTAAATTAATATCACCCTCATCATCATTCACCATCACATTATTATCACCCTCACCATCATTCACCATCTCATTATTATCACCCCCACCATCATTCACCATCTCATTATTATCACCCTCACCATCATTCACCACCACATTATTATTATCACCCCACCATCATTCACCATCTCATTATTATCACCCCCACCATCATTCACCATCACATTATTATCACCCCTCACCATCATTCACCATCACATTATTATCACCCCCACCATCCTTCACCATCTCTAATATTACTATCACCCCACCATCCTTCACCATCTCATTACTATCACCCTCACCATCATTCACCATCACACATTATCACCCTCACCATCATTCACCATCTCATTATTATCACCCTCACCATCATTCACCATCACATTATTATCACCCCACCATCATTCACCACCACATTATTATCACCCTCACCATCATTCACCATCACAATATTATCACCCTCACCATCATTCACCATCACATTGTCATCCTCACCATCATTCACCATCACAATATTATCACCCTCACCATCATTCACCATCTCATTATTATCACCCTCACCATCATTCACCATCACATTATTATCACCCTCACCATCATTCACCATCACATTATTATCACCCTCACCATCCTTCACCATCTCATTATCACCCTCACCATCATTCACCATCACAATATTATCACCCTCACCATCATTCACCATCACATTATCATCCTCAATATCATTCACCATTATCACCACACTCACCATCACCACTACATTATTCTCATCCTCACTATCATTCACCATTATCACTGCACTTATTATCACCACCTCATCATCATCATTTACACTATCACATCAGTACCATCATCTGCATCTCTATCACTACCAACATCCTCACATAATCACCATCAATTGCATCACATCACCATCACCTTGTCTCTCATTATCAAGATCACTATCACCTCACTATTGCATCATCCCCACCATCATTGCCCTCACTATCACACTCACCATTTTCATCAAAATCTCTTTCAGCATCATCACCATCACCACATTACCCTTAATCCTCACTATCACCTCACCATCACAGAATTATCATCATCATCATTATTACTATACTAACGTGCTTGACTGCCTCAGTACGTACACATCATCGTGGGATTTAGAGCACGACCACTACACTGTGTTACTTTAACAGGTAAACTATGTACTGTATAGAGTATTGCACGTGAGGACCTTGCCAAATATGTTTACCAAAATGTTACGTGCAGTAAGTTTTGAGACGTGATAGATGTATCTCACTTGTTTGAATCGCGATGCTAATGTGTCTCACTTGTTCGAATCGTGATGCTAATGTGTCTCACTTGTTTGAATCGTGATGCTAATGTGTTCCACTTGTTTGAATCGCGATTTGAAGTTTTTTTTCTTCACCTGAATGGATCATATGTTGATACTTCTTGCCTGTATTATTCATAATGATGTATAAGTCCTGAGGGTGATGATTCTCACTTATATAAATCAAAGTGTTGATGATTCTTAGCTGAATGAATCATTACGCAGATGCTTTTAATCTATATGAATCATGACAGACGCTTCTCGTCTATATGAATTAATAAACCACAGACGTCATCTCTGACTTCCTCAAAGTGAAAGGTGCATAAAGTAAATTTTGTTGGCGAAATATCTCTCTCACACCACAATCGTGCGAAATATACATATATACATCATTGCTGCTAACTCAAATTCTCACCCGTGGTAAATGTTTTAAGAGGAAGCATGTACTCTGCCCCACGTTTTCCGGGTTTCACAATCTCTGTCTGCCATGACGAGGGCTCTGTCGAACATCTCATATGCTCGTGATTAACGCTTGGTTCAGCTTCAATAACCTCTTGTCACTACTACTATTAATGATATTGGTTATTTTTACGTTATTTACTACTACTACTACTACTACTACAACTACCATCATACTGGTACTTAGATCCTACCACTCTCTGTTTGTACATTACCACACATTCTACAGTAGCACAATCCTCTCTTACATCACACACACACACACACACACACACACACACACACACACACACACACACACACACACATATTCCTTTTAGGAAACACCGCTCTCGCTTCCCCCTTATTCTTTGTTTTGATCTCTCTCTTAATCTTTCTTTTCATCTTATCATATTACTCGCTTTAACATCTTGTCTTCCTCAGTCCTCCCCACATGCCCTCGTTCACAATAAACTTACCCTCAGCAAAAAACACGGTAGCCTTTTAAGAATGGTTTCCAGACTAGAGGAAATACCTCCATCGTTTCACCACACCCTACACAAAATTGAAACTTGTTAAGAGACAGTTTCGTGATAGAAATATGATTTACAAGGAACTGTAAAATCGGACTAAAACGTGAAGACTTCATGCATACTCCACCTGACTCTTAAAAATAGATAGATTTTTAAAGCCTTATAGTCTGTTTTAAAGAAATTCAGACATTTTTATACATGCTTTTATTCTACGTAAGTTAGTAATAACTCATTTTTTACCAGACAAGTACTGTGTAGTATAATTATGAGGTATTGTCCTGGTGTCACTTACCACTCTGGTGGTACTGTGGGGGTGGTCACGTGCATACTATAAGTAGGACAATTTTCATTCTTCATCAGTTTTAGGATACATTAGGTTATATATCTTTAAAATGAATTATTGAATTCATATTTTACGATACAAAGCGTATATTATTCAGGACTACCACAAGAATGGTGGCTGGTTTAAACTCACGACATTGTACTATATATAACTTGAATATCACTGATTATCCTAAGCTGTGTTAGATCCAGGTATTTGTAATCCAAAGCAGGTTTATAAATAGCCACAGTTGTGTGACACAGCTCACCTGAAGAAAGAGTCCCAGAGACTAGTTATGGCAGGAATAAGATATGACTGACACCGGGACCAGCAGTCAGTGACGCTTATATACCAAACTCTCTACCCGCCCATGGAGGTAACCCCCCCACCACATAACTTTCATCCCTCTTCGACCATATCCACAATGATTCGAGTCTAAACTTGACTGGAAACCCGTATTTGCATTGGTGTTGCTAGATCAGTATTTCGTTCTTAAGACAGAAAGTAATTTCCATCATCAGAAAGAATTTTTTTCTCTGATCTTCGGTTCCAGGAAGGTTTAACCAAGTTACACCATCTCTACTGAAGTTCTCAAAGGGTGCCTCAAGTAATGAGTATTTCAGTTGAGCGAGAAAAAAGTACGAGAGCGACCGAATTAAAAAGAATGAGGACTGAGTTGTGGAGCTTACCTTTCTCTCAGGGTTCCTGGGATAGGCCCACACAAGGGTGGTCACTCACTCCGCTGACGGAGACGTGACCGACCAACTGCAGCAGGAAGAAGTGAAACCCTAGAATCTAGGTGACATATGATGACGAGACAGAGAGAAAAGGGATAAAATACTAATGATGGTAATGATGATGCTTCTGGGGTGCTGAGGAGACCAACGAGAATTAGATAATAGTTCCATGAGGGAATTCTGAACAAAATATTAACATAGAAAGTACAAATAAAATTGTCTTAGATAATTAAAAATATGAACTTAAATATGAATCACAAGTTTAGTGTGAATATAACAAATAAGAAGCAAGAGGAAGAACGAAAAAAGTGGACAAGCAAGACAGATATAGGTAATCACCCGTGACTTTCCTTGTGGCAGAACTGATCGAAACCCTTGATCAGTGTGTGTGTG